CTCCATCTCAATAAAAAATTTAGAGCCATGATTAGTTGTACCCATGTTATGCCAATATCTGGCCAATTTAGCATAGCTCTTTTCGGCCAAGCCTATTAAGTCCTCCAACACACATTCTTTGGCCTTTCAAGCCTTCTGGTAGCTCATGACCACTTCGAGCTCTTGACGGACGTCATTAATGATGTCTGAAGGTTTGTTGATCGTTTGTGAGTCCTGATACTTATGCATTATCCATCGACCAATAAACCATGCTCGGACTTGCTTGTGATCATTTCGACGAATTTCCACTTCGTAAATATGTTCCTGTATATATACTTGCGAACTACAAATAACTCATTCGTGTCCATCTTCATCCCTCTTAAACGCCAACGACAACTGTCATCGACACAAACAATTGTCAACAATGACTTGTTTAATTTCTTCACTTTGAACTCAAAGTTGTATTTCAGTGCAATTTGATGCACAAATTCTTGTAAATCTTTTTTTTTGTTTCAAACAGTTGTTCGACATACAAATCCTTATCATCAGGAACCACTCGTGAAAAATTAAATGATGGTCCACTCGATCAACCCCTGCGCTCTCGACCCACTCATGTCTTTGACGGGATAAAGTAATCAAATCCTCATTTGTAAATTCATTATCATTTTCATTGTCGTGAACTACCGATGGAATTCTGTGTATAACAACGAGATCACAATGAGGAACAACTGTCTTCGGCATAACCATATTATTCCCACGCTCCATCGTGTCCCAAAAATCATTGGCATTTTGATCCCCTCCATCTGACTCTTCATGTTCACATTCGGTAACATTTTTCCTTACTAAGTCACGCAAAGAGAAGTCGTGCGCATTTTGTTCAATTCAAATAGATAATTCACCTCAACATTAGAAGAAACTTTCATAGGTGGAATCGGAATGAAGAATGCTCGTTGAATTGAAATTTCAGTTTCATATCGTACTGAGAGATCAACTTTAAGCTTGTTTTATAAATCATAATACATTTTCACATATAATGTGCTTGATGTTATGAAAATTGAAATACCATTATGTATATCACTTGACCATTTTCATACCCATCGTTCTTTTTCATCCAATTCGAAATCACCAAAGTAACAAATTGGAATCACAACCATATCTGCATGACGAAATAAATTTTTTAATTATATATAAAAAAATAGTCGAAAAATTAGCCCAACCACATGACTGCTATGATTTAAAAAAAAAAAAAAAAGCTTAACAGCAAGCTGTTAACATCAATAGCTGGCTGTTACAGCCATGATATATGCAGATGAATTTTTTCTTGTTTATGCTTAAAAAAATTATAGATTTGTTATAAAAATTTATCTACATGTTAATCTATGTCAAAATAAGATTTATCGATTAAAAACATACACTAATTTAGCGAAAACGAAATTAAACATACCGTACTTACCGATTCGAAATATATACGTAAAAAAAAATTATGTTCAACGTTTGATCAATTTCTGAGATTTTGAGGTTGAAGTAGATGAAAAATGAGAGTTTTTAATTGTGTTGGAATAAAAAGATAAGAAAAGTTAACTATTTTTGAAATTTTACATGGGAAGTGTTTGATTTTTATTTGTTAACTAAAATGGTAGTATTATCTTTTAGGATAAAAATGGCCTTTTGTAATTGTATTGTTTATTTAAGAGCATTTTTGTCTTTTACAATTCAAAAAGTCATTGTGAAATATTCAATTGTTGAAAATTTAAAGTGGAAATGAGGGGGTTTGACAATGCTAATTTTAAAAGTACACCGGGTCGGGGCTGGGGGTGGGGGGAATGAGGAAATGATGATGAATAATATGTATGAATTGATAGGCGATAGCTCTTTGCTTAAAAAATAAATATAAAATAATAGATTTTTTTTCTTTTTAATGACAAATTTTATTTATTTAGCTTATGTTTGGTTCTCATTATTTTCAATTACATATTTTTCAATAAAATAATATTACATTCAGATGATTTGTCAACACACCACATTGCTATCCTAAATTGTACAAATAGCAAAATTATGAACATATTACTATGCACAACACAATTGTGTAATAGCGTAAAGAATAATAGCTTCATTTAATAAAATCTTAAATAGACTGTTGATAACTTGAAGAGAGTGATTTTCAGCAATAGCAATTCTAAATCCCTTATATTGCTCTTTACACGGAACAATGCCACAAAAAGGCTATTCTTCACCTCTTTAGAGAAAGTAACCATAATCCCAACCCCAACTTCTATTTACATTAAGCGTATACTTGACCTCATTTTTTCAAAATTTATTTTTAATCAAACATTTTTCCATAAAATAATATTATGCGTAAATCAATTTTTTTCCTTATTTTTTAGTTACACATTCTTCAAGAAAATCTTATTCCAAAATGCATTATAACCCAAAAATGGGGCTAAACAAGGGCTAAGTCTATGTTTGATATCGTTAAAAAATTTGATTAAAATATAAGTCAAACTCAATAATTATCAAAATCTTTTTGAAATCTTGGCTCTGTTTGATCCACATTCTTAAAAAATGTATTATTTTAATGCTCATTTTTAACTACACAATCTTCAATAAAATAATATTACACTCAAATTCAAAAATTTCCTTCTTTTTTAACCACATATTTTCTATCACATCACTATTTAAAATGCATTATTTCCTTAAGAATGTGCATCAAACATGTTCCTTATTTTAATTTCTACGGAAGATAAGTTAAATGTTGCTCTTTCTTTGGACAATTTTACATTTATAGTCAAACGTCTTGCGTGTTGCCAATAAATTACCGAATGGAAGTTTTTCTACAGAAATGAAAGGTTAAGGACACAACTATCACGCTTATGGAAGATTGAGACCCTCGAATATTATATGGTGCTTTCTCTTTTAGGCTTAAGAAGTTGACACTTTGGAAAAATTCACAATTCAGGTGTATGGTTTACACCAATTCAAAAGACAGATACATATTTTAAAAATTCAAAATTTAGGTATTTGGTGATTAATTAAAAATATTCATTAATTAAATATAATTAGTTCACAATTATACAATTAGTGGTCACAATTTTATTCAAAAGTCACATATTTTTAAATTAATTGGTCACAATTTATTCTTCGGTCACATATTTCAAAATTAATTGGTCACAGATTATTTAATGATCACAGNTCACATATTTCAAAATTAATTGGTCACAGATTATTTAATGGTCACAGATCAAAAAAATTGTAGGTCACATGGTCACATATTTCCAAATTAGTTAGTCACATATTCTTACACGGTCACATATTATATAATTTTTAGGTCACAAATAACAAAATGATTGGTTACAGATTAACCAACACCTTGCTTTCATCTTCGATCCTCATCCACCACCTTGACCGCTCACCACCACGCCCAAACCAACCACCTTTCCCAAGCCAACCATCACCTCCATCAACAAAAATCACTATCACTGCTACCACCACCACCACCATCGCCAACAAACCCCATCAGATCCACCACCACCACACCACAGCCACTGCTACCGTCACCAGGCCACGTGTGACCCCCTCACCCCAACACCACCACCACCACAATAGCCATTTGCGACCATTACTTTATCACAACCAACAGTGTCAAACCCACCACCTCACCACCGCCAAAATCCACCACTAACATCTCCAGATCCATATACACCATTGACAACAAAAAAATCTCAAAAACCACCTCCATCACCATCCCTCAAAACCGCAGATCCACAACAAAAAAACCAGTGAAAGTGACTCGATTTACCACCATCCCTCAAAACCGCAGATCCACAACAAAAAAAACTTCAAAAACCAGTGAAAGTGACTCGATTAGAATTACTGGGAAGAGAGGATTTTCAGAGACTGTAGATTTGAAACTCAACCTTCAGTACAATGAATAAGCTTTAGATGCAACTTGCCGCAATTCGAACTCCTTCTGACCGGCGATATGGATTGAGGGTGGCGATGGGTTTGGGCGATGACGTCGATCGACGGCGACGGGAGGGAGGCGATGTGTTGGTTTAGAGAGAGAGAATGTAGAGAGGGAAGGGAGGGGAGACGAGGCGAGAGAGAGAGAGGTGAGGGAGTTGAGAGTGATAAATTAAGGTTAAAATTTTAATATATTATCTGATTTTTGAATAAATAAACTTTGGACTTGATTTTTAAAAAGTCATCTTTAAACTCCTGAGTATTTATAATTTCCCTTGCACTTCCCTGAGCCGCGAGATTTTCTTTGGGCTCATTTGAAAGTATTGGCTCGTGTAGTTTTCCTTTACACTTGAATGCGACGGACTGCTCCGTGACTCGGACTTGAATCGTCATAGCGAGAAAGCCAGATCGATGAGTCGGACTCAGTAGCTAAAAAAACCTCAAAAACCACCTCCACCACCATCCCTCAAAACCGCAGATCCACAACAAAAAAAACTTCAAAAACCAGTGAAAGTGACTCGATTAGAATTACTGGGAAGACAGGATTTTCAGAGACTGTAGATTTGAAACTCAACCTTCAGTACAATGAATAAGCTTTAGATGCAACTTGCCGCAATTCGAACTCCTTCTAACCGGCGATATGGATTGAGGGTGGCGATGGGTTTGGGCGATGACGTCGATCGACGGCGACGGGAGGGAGGCGATGTGTTGGCTTAGAGAGAGAGAATGTAGAGAGGGAAGGGAAGGGGAGACGAGGCGAGAGAGAGAGAGGTGAGGGAGTTGAGAGTGATAAATTAGGGTTAAAATTTTAATATATTATCTGATTTTTGAATAAATAAACTTTGAACTTGATTTTTAAAAAGCCATCTTTAAAACTCCTAAGTATTTATAATTTCCCTTACACTTCCCTGAGCCGCGAGATTTTATTTGGGCTCATTTGAAAGTATTGGCTCGTGTAGTTTTCTTTTACACTTGAATGCGACGGACTGCTCCGTGACTCGGACTTGAATCGTCATAGCGAGAAAGCGTCTAGCTACTCAGCCTGAGTCATCGGATGGTCAATGGAGCCGCGTCGCTCTTCGACTCGAAGAATCAAGGTCTTCAACCCACTGGAATCGCCGCCGCATAACTCAGATCACAAGCTCACCACCACCAGCTGCGCCGTTTCCTCTTCTTCATCATATCTTCTGCATTTTCGTAATCTTATACCGTAAACTCTACATTTTTCACGCGCATAAGAATATGAGTACTGGATCCGACCTACCGTATGTCTACCAGCAAAGTCTCTTTGAGACTGATTTACATTATCATCAAGTTCTCAGTGTACTAGCTCAATCTCGGTTTTAATATTATTTATATATTTTTCATTATTTATTTCTGTAAGTTTTGAGAAATTCAGGAGAATACGAAGGTGTCGGAAAATTCCACTCGCCGGAATTTTAAGAATCCCGTGCTAGCCTACATTACTCCATGGTGGTTTCATTCATTACAATCGCAATGGCATTTATTTTGGTTCAATAGTTTGATTATTTATTTTTATCTCAAAATATTATTTGTTGACAACAAAAATGTGTAGTTGATTATCGAATAATATTATCAGCTGAATTATGTTTGACTTTTCTTCTTTTGTGAAAGAAGCTAGTTTTTTTGGTATATAAAAAAGTAGCCCAATATTTACCCAGACATGCTCTTAATCAAATAGAGCTATGCTTTAGTTCAGCTGATAAGCCTAGCTGGTCCAAATATATGATCCATGCTCAAAAATTATATTTCATCTTTGAAATCCTGAGGACATGTAGTTTTTGTTGCTTTTCTTACAATTTAAGTGGCGGGTTGGTGTGTAAATGCTTCAATTATAAATGGTGCAGGAATTCTAAGGGATATGACATGGCCAAGAAGTTCAATAATAAATTTTCGTATTTATTGCCCATGGGGTACGGAATTAAGAGGTATGGGCTTCTAGATTTGCTGAGTGATAAATTTTTCAATTCAATATTTCTAATTCTGGGTCAACCCCTGAGCTTTCGGCTTTGGAGATTATACTGTTACTGTAATCTGTGTGCCTTTTGTTTTGTTTTTTCCTGCTACACGTTATACTCTTAGCTCTAAGGTTTTTGTTTTAGCTGAGCCTATGTCTGGATAAACTACTAAGTAACTTATAAGGAGAATTAGTGGGCCCATGAAATATGTGGATAATAAATGGGGGTACTAGTTATGAATGTGTGGTTGAAATTGACCCGAAATTATAAGTTCTTATTAGTTTACCCAAACATAGGCTAAATCTATAAAGCTCTGCATCTGATTTTCTCTCCTTTCTTTTTGTAATAATACATGTTTGGCGAGATAATCCCTGCTGTAACGTTATTCTATTACATTGATGATGATTTGTCTTATCACCTGAATATTTTGTTTGAGTTAGTTATGAATACATCCCTGTAGACATAATATGAGGTTCCTAATATTCTTTTGTATAGAGCAATTGCCTGCTAAATTATTGTTTTTATTATTTTTTTTTTTTTTGTTAATGTGGCTCACAATGAGAATATATTATGGAGCAATTTGTGGAAATTTTTCTTAAGATTTTTTTTCTTGTATGCAAAAGGTATGTGAATAATTACTTTCACCAAATGGTTATTGGTCTGTATTAATTTGATTGATACTAGTTCTGAATGATGCCAGCCAATGCACCAAATTGGTTATGGAGGGAGGCATAATGCTGATAAAGAATGGATTGCAGACCTTAGAATGAAAGGAGATGCCCTGGTTAGTTGACTTTTGATTCCATATTTTAATATGTAATGTTCAACCTGCACTGCAGAATGGACATTTGTGCATTTTTTGAGTGTTCCAGAAGTTGAAGCAAAGTCGAAGTTGGAAAAAAAGGTTCAATGGAAAAAATACATGAGATGAGAACCCAAGTTATGTTTTTTATGATATAGAGTGCTTGTGTTGAGTTTATTCTGTTTTATTATGAGAAATATGTAAACCACTCCAGAAATTCATTCCGTAGATCGTTGTAGTTTTTGTTTTATAAATATGTGTCCCGGGTTTCCCAAGAAATGAAATGCAGCAGCTGCAACACGTTCCTCTAAATTCTGAATACTAAAACCTTATGATGTCAACTTTGTTAATTATCAAATTGTGGTCCTCAATTTCTAGCCACGAGAAATGATTATCTGGATGATTCGTATATGACTATAATCCTTGGGTAGTATGTTATGCTTAAGTTTATCTCTGATTTTAATGTTGCTTTACCATGTTATAATATGTAAAATAGAAGGATTCTTATATACTTTATTCATTGTAGAAACGATACATATATATACAAAGCTTAGGAAACTATTTTAGGAAATTGCACAAATTAGGAAAACCTAGATTTAGGGTAATTAGCCAACTAATATACCCTTTAACACTCCCTCTCAAGTTGGAGTATAGATATTAAT